GAGGATCCGGAGTTCCAGGGATGCCTTGGCTCTATGAAACCCTGTCGCAAAAACAAACAAAACAAAACAAAACAACAACAACAACAAAAAAACCCCAAACCAAAGCAAAACAAACACAACAATCTCAGACTTAAATCGGGTGTGGTGGTGATGGTACATACCTATAATCCCAACACTAAAGCAGGAGAATCAAGTGTTGGAGGCCAGTCTGAGCTACATAGCCAGACCCTGTTTCAAAAGAAAATAGCTCAAGCTTCTTGACCCTTCACTTTCATATCCAGAGAGAACTTGTGCCTTAATCCTTTTCTTTGGTGGGGCTCCACTAATAATAAAAAAAAAGGAATAGCTGGTCTTATATAAATTGACTTCTCCAGGCTGGAGATGTAACCCAAGAGCACTTGCCTAGCATGCCCCAGGCCTTAGGCTCAATTCTTAGTAAACACACACACTCACACACACACACACACACACACACACACACACCCCTAAATCAACTTCATGTGTCACTGAGTAGTGAAGAGAGATGGTTTACCACACAGGGTATATGTTGGGAGCTATTCTAGCGGGGGTATTTTCCATCTGGAAATACCTAAGGTCAGAAATGTGTCAATGGGAGTTAATCAATATGAAATGTATGGATGGATGAGTTTTTATAAATGGAATGATTTTTATCAGGATTATCAATGAGATCAATATCAATGGTGGTATTTGTGAATTATCACTTTTGACAAAGGGGTCCATTAAAGAGACTGGAAAAATATGGGTGGGGAGGTCTATCACTCCTAATAGAAAATGGAGAGCTAAGCCAGTGGATCACAATATGTGAATGGGAAATTTTGCTAACAAGAGATTGTCAACAGGAATTATGTCATAGACGGATATTCATAAATAGAGAGATTTTTTCAGCAGGGGAGGTGCCAATGGGTGGGTAGTTATGAACAAGATATTTGTGGCTGGGGTCCATCAGCAGGCAAGAGATTGCTACTGGGTTTTTGTGAATAGAGATTTGTTCATAAGGTGATCAATGGGGAGAAGTCTATTAAATATTTATGAATAAAAGGATATTTCTTAGTGGGGTATTTTCGACACAGAGGATTTTCTCAGTGAGGAGAAGGGACTAATCAAAGAAAGAGTTTACCAAGGGTTTGGGGATTTAGCTTCTGTAGCCTTGGCAACAGTAGAGATTTGTAAAAGTAGGGATTTGTCCACAGTGAGGAATGCACAGTGGATAATATTGCCACAGTTAGGAGGACGGTTTTGGTCAGAAGTCTTTGAAAATGTTGATGCTTGTCAGCGGAGAGAGTTACATAATGGAAAGTAGCATGTAAACATCACTATATTAATAATACAAATTAACATTTTAAATATCTGCTCCATTCTTGGGGGAGATTGTCCCAATCATGAGTTAGACTGTGTTTTGTTTCCAGAGTGCATTAAATTAATGCTAGTAATATTATACATTATTTCCAATATTGTTTATTATTACTCATAGCAAACTTTAGTTATAGTATTGTAATGATCACTATTGATAATTATCACTAGTGAAGTTGCACATTGTTTTACTTACTGTAACTACTACTATTTAAAAGTACTACACTCAAAGCACTGTTTCAAGCACTTCACATGTTACCTCATTGTCCCTATGAGTTAAGAATGTATGTTACTAACCCCGTTTGGCAAATGCAAGAACTGGAGCCCAGAAAGGATTTGATTTCCCCAAGAACACAGAGCTAGGACATGACGGGAGCAAGATTGGAATGCAGATGACCCAATTCTAGGGTTCATGCTCTTAACCAGTATACCACATGCCTGTTTAGAAATTAGGTCACAGTTACTAATATTTCACATTTAGTTATTGCTATAAGAGTTTCATGGTATTTGGGGGGCTGCAGAGTTCAGGCTAGGAATCTAACTCAGGCCTGCGTGCCTATTAGGAAAGTAAGTGCTCTGCCACATCTCCATCCTAAGATAGTTCATGTGTTTTGTCCTAAAAAAAATCTAAAGAGCAAATATTCTTTTAATCATGTTCCAACCCCTAGTACTCTGAAGGGTTCTGGGTAGGGGACTGCAATGCTCACCGTTTTAAGGAGAAGGACTGAGGCTCAAGTAATGGAAAGACCAATCCCCAGGCCACCCACTGAGCTGGACCTCATGTGCTGTACCTCAAAGGGCTGTGACCCTTATGCACTTCCTCTCAGCTGTGATAGAAACTCTCCTGAAGAGAGTCACATACAGGTGTGCTGATTGTCATGGGTGGCCACTTTAATGGTTTTCTAGAAAGGTGATGGGGGTTAGGTGATTCTAGGAGTACAGATACTGCCAGGAGCTTATGCCAGGAATCTGAGGAAGCTAGCCTTGTATGCTATTCTGGACTCTGTGTACCTTGAGGCCTTGTCATCCCTGTCCATGCTGCACTGGGTCTGGGTATGGGCCCTACCTGTAGGATTGACAGGTTGGCAGAATGGCCTTCAATACTAGGTTTTATCCCTCCCCTGACACCTCCTGCTTCCTCCCAAAGGCTAAAGTTGAGGATTTGGGGAAACAGGCCCTGAAGTCAGGGAGTCACATAAGTATAGGGAGCTGGTACTAAGGTTTGGTGAATAATCAGAAGCTGACAAAAATCTTTCAGGCAGCTGAAGCAAAACCAACAAAGTTACCAGGGCCAAAACAGGACCTAGGCCTTTCCCTTAGAGTTATACCTACTAGCAAAGACTGCCATTTACCCCTTTTTGGTGGACAGGGTTCAGACCTTCATAGGTATAACTAAGGTGAAGGTGTTTATGTGGATATTATTGCTGTAGCAAGCATTCCCCACTCAAATGAATAAGTACCAGGTACTCAAAATCTACCCATTCTTGGCTGGGCATAGTGTTACTTGCCTGTGCTCCCAGCACTGAAGAGACTGAGGCAGGAGGATCATGAATTCAAGGCGAGCATAGAGCACATAGCAAGTTCCAGGTCAGCCTGAGTTATATTGTGGGACACTGTCAAAAAATAAAATTAGCCCACCCAGATATATAGAGTACACACTTGGGCCTGGAGGAACTTCCCAGCAGTATAAAAACTATGAGACAGGACCACAGAAGACCTAGGGGGCCACACATAGTGACTTAGAATGCACTGCAGAAGAACTAGGTGTTTTATTTGGTTTTGTTTTGCAGGTGTTATATCAACCTATGAACACCCAGGTCGAACCCGGATTTTTTTCTTTATGTTTTGCTCTGTAATTTCAGACAGGGTCATTCTTTGTAGCCCAGGCTGACCCTAAACTTGTGATCTTCCTGCCTAAGCCTCCAACGTGCTAGAATTGCAGGCATGCACCAACATGCATATCTGTTTTTGTTGATAGGAGTAGTGGGTAGTCTGATAGGGAGGAATTTGGAAATCCTTTTGCTTACCAAAGAAGGCATATTGGAACCCTTTTCCAGCCGATCCAGGTCAGCATGACACTTCAATGTTCCCAAGTTCTCCAATCTGAAATTCTCGTTCTAGGGGCCTTACTGCAGTCAGAATCTTTGGAGTATGGGTTAGGAGCCTGGGTTTGGAAGGGGTTGGACAGACCTAGGCCCAATTGTAGGTGCTAGAATATCTAGAGAGATGTTTGGAGAGTTTCCCATTCAAATTTTATGGAGAAAGGTGATACATAAATGTGAGAGTCAAGTCCAGAGACCTGAGTGATCTTGATTTTAAACCCTACATGGGTTTGAGGTCATAGCTTAACAGTAAAATGCTTGCTGCTTGTCTAGCATGCACAAGGCTCTAGGTTCATCCCCAGTACCACAGAAGAAAGCGAAGTATATTACACCCTACCTACATTTCTGTGCTCAGTATTCCCTGCAGTTGGTCAGAGAAAGGAAGAAGTGAGTAGGTTAGAGCTGAGGGATTTCAAGATCATCCCTTTGCTCCATTCTACCTCTTCTAAGGAATCCCTTGCCTTTCATTCTAGTTAGATTTAGGCACTACAAAGGTTTGGATGCAGCATCCTCACTGGACAACATCAAGATAATGCCTGCGGTGAGGAGAGCTGTTTACCAATTGATAGGGTATTTTTCAATGAGTTTGTCAATGGCTGAGATTTCTAAATAGGGGAATTTCTTCCAGCTCTGGGTAATTTATTAACTAGAGAGCCTTGGGCAAATAAAAATTAGAAATTATTATAGTAATTAGAATGTGATAGCACATGCCTATAATCCCAGCAATCAGGAGGCAGAGGCAGGACTGTGGCTAGTTCAAATCCAGCTTGATCTACATAACAAGTTCTAGACAAGCCCAGGGATACATAGAAAGACCCCGTCTCAAAAAAAAAGGACAGAAAGACAGAACACAAGAAAATGGAACTGAAGATATGGCTTAGTGGGTAAAGCATTTGTCATGCAACTGAGGACGCAGGTTTGAATCCCCAGAAATCATATAAAGCTGGGCAGTGTATGCATGTATATGTGAGATGGGAGGTGGAGACAGGAGAATCCTCTGAAAGATAGCCTGGTGTACACAGTGTACAGCAAAGAGACCTGTCTCAAAATAGAAGCCAAGGTCTGACACCCAAGGCTGTCATCTGACCTCTACATATATGCCATGCCACATGCATGCCTGCACATACATACACACACAAACATACATACACACACACACAACTAAAAAGGAAAAAAAATAATTACTATAGTAAAATGTCTCAAAGTACTGAGTAGAGGAAATATTCAATAAATTGGCGTTGATAACACAGAGTAAAGAGTCACTACTGATTTTGCAGTGTACCGTTACTAATGCCAATGTTGAAATCATTACCAATACATCAAATTTTTTTGTTAAGTATAAAAAATAAAACTTTTTGGCTAGATATTGAACCTTTGTACATGCCAGACAAGTGCTCTACCACTGAGCTGCATTCCCAGACTCCAAATAAAACATCTTGCATCTCTCCCCTTTCACTGCTCCCTGGATACTCCCACCGCCCATTAAATGTCTTAGATTTGCTCCCAAGCACTACACAGAAACAGTGCTGCTGGGTAGTAGTTCTTTATTTCACCATCTGAGAGAAAGAAAGATGGAAGTGGGAAGGTGAACAGTATGCAGGCTTCAGCTTCCACTGGACATAGGCTTCAGGCCATCTAGGCCCGCAGGGATTGCCAGGTGCACAAGCCTGGATTCTGTGGCAAGCAGGCAAAGTTGCGGCTCTGGTAGCCCTTCTCAGAGCCCTGGAGGAGCTGGTCTGTCCACAAGCAATGAGTGTTATTTTCCAGTTTGCAGGGGATGGTTGAACAAGGAAATACCTGGAAGAGAAAAGGGGCTTGCTTCTGAGAGCTCCTCCTCCCCCTGCTCCCTCCCCTATGGAGAGAGTTCCACTCTCCCTTTGGCAACATGGAGCTGCTAGAGAGCCTTGATGTTGCCCCATCTGGGTTCAGATCCAATAACAGCCCCTCCCATTGGGGAAACTGAAAGCCAGTGAAAAGATCTGAGTTCCAAAATGGTAGGTAGGTCACTTGAAGTCAGGCAGGCAGGTCTCTGGAGGAACTGTCCCACAGGGAAGAGAACAACTGGAGTAGTAGGGCACAGTTGGCATGCAGAGAGCGAAAGCATGAGAATAGTCAGTAGAGCTCTCAGATAGTCACTGGAGGTCAGAGAATATGGTGCCATCAGGAATAGCCAGAATAGGAATAGCTTGGAATAGCCAGAAGGTCAATGTGTCTTTGTGGATTTGGGGAATAAGGAGCACTTTGAGTTCTTGGAGGATATTCCAGGGAAGCAAAACCAAACCCTCAGAGGTCAGAAACAGCGGGATTCAGAATAGACACAAAAGAGAGTAAGAGACAGATAAGAAGGTTCAGGGAACAGGCAGTCCCAAGATAACAGACAGGGTAAAGGAACAAGGAGAATTTCCAAAAGAGCACCTCAAGGACAGAGCTGGGGTTTGGGGAGTAGCTACAATTATAAGGAATAGATAGAGGGAAGAAGAAACAAGCCCAAGAATGATCTCCATGTGGAGAGAAGGGCCCAGGCACTCACTGTGCATGTCCCACAGCCAGCACTATAGGTCTTGGTGAAGCCCTTTTGCTGAGAAGGGCTCAGAGTAAGCCAGGGAACCAGGAAGCTGCAGGTACTGATGTGCAAACGCCCATTCCTCAGGCGTCCTGGGAGGGAAGGGAGAAAACAACAGGTAGCTTTTGATTTGCCAGGCGGTGTGGGGAGGGGTTGCCTGATTGGCATCCAAGACTACAGACCTTGATGAGCAAAGTCCTGGCCTTTTGACAGGCTGAAATTGGGGAGATCCCCATTTCAACTAGGATCATTCCCTTCAGAGTCTTTCTCCTGCCCAGCTGCCAAGTAGCCAGTGAAGAGTGGGTGTGACCCAGGGCAGGGGGTGGGGCCTCACCAGCGATGAGAAACTCCTCACTGCGGTTCTGGGACTGGTGGAAGTATCCACAGAGGCTCTCCATGGCAGGGGTGTAGACGAACCGGATGTCCGCGGCATGCCCCAAGGCGTCGAACCCTTTGAACATCTGTTCATGGGTGAGGAAAAGTGTATATTTTACTGACACAATCCTCCTACTCCATGCTCTTTTCCCTGAAGTTATACACCTAAATTTCAAGATTACCGAAAACTTCCAGACCAATTGCTGGTCAGATGCTTCTATTTTGAGAGAGAGGAAGATGTTAGAGACTGCCAGGGAGGGGCCAGGGTGAATACCTTAGTCATCTTGATCTCGTAACGCTGGTTTAATAAGGTGGTCTGGTTGACTTCTGCGGGCCCCACGAACTTAGCCCTTATGACTAAGGGAGAGGAAGGAGAAAATAAGGAGTCAAATGGGCAGCATGAGCCTATATACATATACAACATAATTCTAACAAAGACAGAACACTAAATTGTTTCCACATCTGTTAATTGATTCATCTATACATTGTCTACTCTTTGCCAGGCACAATTTTAAACCTTTTTCACAGATCCATTTGTTGGCTCACTTAAACAAGTATTTTGGAATGCCTGATATATGCATTCAGGGTGTTAGGGACACAGCAGTGAAGAAAACACAGAAATCCCTTCCCTTATGGACCTCACATTCTAGTCAAGAGGACACAGACTAAAAGTAGGTAGCCAGGCATGGTAGCACAGGTCTGTAATCTCAGCACTGAAAGGCTGAGTCAGGAGGATCAAGGGTTCGAGGCCAGCCTGGTCTACACAGTGAGTTCCAGGCCAGCTGGGGCTATAGGGAGAAAAAGAATGATTTAAAAAATGATTAAAAGTGAGTTTAGAGGCTGGAGAGATGGCTCAGTGGTTAAGCGCAATGGCTGTTCTTGCAGAGAACCCAGGTTCAGTTCCCAGCACCTATATGGCAGCTAACAATCATCCATAACTCTAATTCCAGAGAATCTGATGCCTGTTTCTGGCCTCCACGGGCATTGCATGCATGAGGTGCACTTACATACATGCAGGCAAAACATTTATCACATAAATAAAAAAAAGTTTTAAGTGGGTTTGTCTTGTATCTCTTTATTCCTTATCTATGATATTTCTTCTTAGTAATTTCCCATTCCCTGACCCCTAAACATACCTTGACCATGGAGTCCCACGTGCCCACACTCTGTTGAGAGTTCAGCCCAATCTCTCTCCCTCAACTGCAAAATCCCATTGCCATGGTCTCTCTACTTACCAAGATGGTACTGAATAAAGTCTGCCTTTCTATGCCTTAACAAGTGTTAACAGTATTTTTGTGGTCTTTTTGACACAGGGTTTCCCTGTAGCCCCGGCTGGCCTGGAACTCACTATTAGACCAGGCTGGCCTTGTATTCACAGAGATCTGCCTGCCTCTGCCTCCCAAGTGCTGAGATTAAAGGCCACCATGCTTGGCTAACAGTATTTTTTTTAACAGCAGATCAGAAGTACTAGGTGGCAAGAATTAAACTTTTTTTTTTTTTTTGGTCTTTTTGAGACAGGGTCTCCCTGTAGCCCCAGCTGTCCTGGAACTCACCATGTAGACAAGGCTGGCCTTGAACTCTCAAAGATCTGCCTGCCTCTGCCTCCCAAGAGCTGGGATTAAGGGCATGCGCCACCACACTTGGCCAAGAATTAAACTTTTAAACACAGTAGTTACTTTTGAGGTAGTCACCGATCTGGATACCTAAAGACAGGTGTACCTGGTAGAAAGGCAACCAGCAGGAGGTGAGCTTAGGCCTGAGGATGTCAGTATGGCCAAAGCAGATCTATTCAGGGATAAATAGAACTGTTCTAGAGGTTACAGCCATAATGATTCCTATTGGACTGAGAGGGAAAGCTCAGGAGAGTATAAAGGCCGGAAGGGAACCAAACTCACCGACGTCTGAGTTGCAGAAGGCAGTCTGTGGGTGGTGTGGGGCACAAGTGCAGGCCCTACTGGAGGCTATCAGTGACAGCAACAGGAAGAGGCCAGAGGACAGGGGTGCAAATGGGGCCATGGTGTTGTCTGTTGGGGAGACAAGGTATTAGTTGGCCCTCAACCCAGCTGATCTGTTGACCTATTTAGCCTAAAGGGATTAGGGAACTCTGGAGTTGGGAAGTCCAAGAATCTTAAGGGGGTTGGGAAGCCCAGAGGAGCTTAGGGGCTTAGAAAGTTGGGAAGATTTCAAGGTTTATGCAGTTCCAGTGATTTAGAGGACAAAGTGAATTGGAGGATGATGGGAGTTGTGGCAGTTGGTGAATAAGGGGGCTGGGAAGTTTGAGGATTTAAGGGAGATGGTGGAGTCTGGAGGTTGACACTTTGGAGTGAAGAATTTGGAGTTTGGGAAGACTGGAGAAGTTTGGGAGAGGTTGGGAGTTTAGGGATGTGCATATTGAGATATTTGGGGGTAGACTGAGGAATTTAAAGGACGTTTGGGGTTTAAGGGGCTGAGCCTGAGGGAACGGGGTGTGGGGGGGATTAAAGTAACGGATAAGCTTGAGGGATTAGAAGGCAAGTGAAAGTTTTGAAGTTCAGGAAGTTAGACAATACCGAGTTTGAGGGCAGGAGGACTTAAGGGAGCTGCTGGGGTTTGGGTGGGGTATTGGGGGACAATGAGGGAATTCGGCGGAGCTGGCAAGATGGGATGTCTTTGAGGTATTATGGGATCATAGGTTAGGAGCACCTGGGAATGAATGCCAGGAGCTCTAGGGGGCCTGGAGTACAACTAACTTGGGCAGTCATTCCAGCCCCCCTCCCTTTTTGTTCCTCCTTGGCTAACTCGGGATCCTGATACCCACAAGCCAAGTTAAGCACTAAGCTGGCAGAGGACTGGATGGGCCTGGCGGCTGCCAACACATACTCCAGGCAATCTCCAGTCCTGCTGGGACACCTAGCTCCCGCTTACCTCTGGTGTCTCTGTAGGCACCGGATCTGCGGCGATGGCGGCAGGGCCTGAGAGGTGGAGAATAAATGTCCATGAGAGGGGCGGGGTTGGCGCGGAAATCACAGCCTCCAGGCTTCCTGGATGCATTACTCATCCGCCCACCACCAGAGTTGAAGCCTGAGGGCGGGCAGAGGACAGCCCAAAGATACTCCCTCCTCTGACCGCCCTCTGCCTGCCTGCCAATGCCGCGCCCCCTCCCCCCAGCTCCACGTCCTGCACATTCGGTCCAAGCCATCCAAGCCGCCTGCCTTAAAGGAGAGCCCAAGCCCCTACAGTACTCTGTTTCCCAGTCCCCGACACACGGCAAACTTTCATAGCTGAAGCCGAATTATTTCATCCCCTCACTTTTACTGTACATCTACTATGTGCCAAGCCCACAAGAAGTGCTTCTCTGGTGGACCTGGTGTTCTGGTAAGGAGTGGCTCAGGGAAACAAATTACAGAAGCCTTTGAGGGACAGGAGTTAGATGAAAAGGCAGGAATACAAAGTGGGGAAACTGATACACTGTTATGTGACATCCAAGATCGCAGAGTTAAGTGAGACTAGAAATGAGGGTGGCCTGCAGTCAGAGTCCAGGTAGTAACTTTTTCAGCACACAGAAGCTGGGTGTAGTTAGTTGCACACACCTGTGATCAGGTGTGGCACTTGGGAGATTCAAGAATGGCCTGGACTAATGAGACCTTGTCTCAAAATAAGCAGAAACATAAACAAAAAGACACGCAGGCAAATAGCAGAAATGAAGAATTTTGCCAGTGACACAGGGCATAGCTGGGGTTCAAACTTAGGCTCTTCAGCTCTGGGATGAACCCAGAGAGATATGGTCTTGGCAAGCAGGAATGGTGTGGTGAGAGTTGGGAGGGGGGGTTGAATGGTGGTGAAAGAAGTAGTGAGTCAGTAGAAAACCCATCCAACCCCATCCTGCCCTGCCCCTTCCCCACCAACCAGCCCACACCCCCTGGGGTGGGTGGGATGAGGCAACTGCTGCCCACCAGTTTCCTGATGATGCAGTAATATTCCCTGGGGTCTTGGGGAAGAGTTCTGAGGGCTGATTAACACTCTCAGTTAATGCAGGGAGGATAAACCAATAATAATAACAATGATAGTGATGACAGTAGCTACTTATTGAGCACTTACTGTGTACTATGTGCCAAGATCTTTGTGTAAAATTCAGTCATTCACTCTCTGCTACCTCCTTGCTAATTAAAATTTAAAAAATATTTTACTGAGATTTTTGCATTTCATACAATAGTTCTTAATCAAATTTAGACCCCCCCATCCATGCCCCCACATACCTCCCACTGGACCTCATGCATTCTGTCATATATATCAAGTCCTATCTGGTCAAGCATTTGTACCCAGATGTCCTTCAGTGCAGGTTCATCCATTGGAGCTCGTCAGCCTATCTAGAGATCTTTATAAATGTATTGACTTAGGAGATTAGCTCAGTAACCACAGTACAATAAAAAAACTACTGCCAGCATCAAAGAGTGCTTATTATTGTGTACCAAATACTGTTCTAAAGGTGTTGGTCTTTTCGTTTGTTTGTTTTCAACATTTGTGTATGTGTACACGTGCATGCCATAGCATATTTCAGAGGACAATTTGTAGGAATCAGTTATCTTCTTCCACCATGTAGGCTCTGGGGATCGAACACAGGCTGGGTAGCAAGCACATTTACCCAGGGAACCATCTCATCAGCCCAAGTTTTTCTTTTTTTTCAGTCCTCCCAATGACCTTGTAGATTAATGTTAGTTGATAAAAAGATGTTAAACCAGTAATAGTAATTACAACAAAAATAGTACCCAACACTTTGAAAATTGAGGTTTAATGTGTGCCATATAGTGTGTGCTAAGATATTTTTTTTCTTTGCAATGACTGATTTATTCTTCCCAACATCACTGTGAATTGCGATTCATATTCTCGTTATTTAATGATGAAATGGAGACCCAAAGGGGTGGAATGACCTGTCCAGGAATGATAGTGAAGAAATGACCGGGGGTGGGGGACAAAGAAAAGGAGGAAGGGAAGGAAATCAAAAATTTCAAGCAGCTGATTGTGAAAGTGGGGAGTGAGAGTGAATGAGACAGGGGACTGAGTAACTGGGTGTTACAACCGAGGAGAAGTGAAGACAGGGAAAGTCCTGTCTGCCTCCTTGATGACCCTGCTTTTGACACTACCTCTTTAACTTTGAAACCTGCATCAGCCCAGTTTTTCCAACTGTTTACATTTGTGGATTGAAGTTGCTGTACAGGTTTGAAATGGGGTAGAGTAGATTTCACAGAAGGGGTATCTGCCCTATGACTATATAGAGAGCTGGGTAGGTGTGAGGTTTCCATAGGAAACAACTGGCATGTGCAGATACCTGATGATCCCCACAAAGTATTAAGTGCTTGGGCTTGATTGTGCCCTTAGTACAGATCAGGAAACTGAGGCCCAGAGAGATGTGACCTGCCTGGGGTTTCACATGGCTTTAGGAAGAAGAAAGGCTCTCCTCTCTCCTGGAGAGCCAAAGACCCCTGTATGCACACACGACAGCCATTTGCTTATGCATACACTGTGTTCAGGCTCAGGGACAGGAAGCAAAGCCAGTTTAAAGGATCCAGAAAGCTCAACAGGTGGGGGTGGGTACACATATGTGTGCACAACTCTCTGGTGTCTCTGCTTGTGGGAGTGCCATGAGTGTCCCTCTGTATGTTGCCTGTCCATTCATGAGAGCCAGGTACGTGCATGAATGTGTTGCTTCTGAGAGCTGAAGGTTGCAAATATAACTGTGTATTCTTCTATGTGCTGTGCAGATACCTGAGTGGAATCTCAATCTCCCTTTCTCTCTCTCTCCTCTCTCTCTCTCTCTCTCTCTCTCTCTCTCTCTCTCTCTCTCTCTCTCATACACACACACACACACACACACACACACACACACACACACACACACACATCTTGGTATTGTTTCCCTGGCCTGCTGCCCAGATAAAACCCTTACCACCACCACCACCCTTCCCAAACCATGCCACTCAGCTTTCCCCACTATAATGACGCCAATCATTTGGGAAATAAGGAAGGGGGAGGTTGTAGAGGGAGGGTGAGGCCTGAAGGTCTATGGGTCACCCTGAGTTTACTGGCTTCCTGTGCCTGTCAGGAAGTGCCACCACCCCAGGAACCCCTACTAGAATGCCATCTCTACCCTGTCAGTGGGAGGTAGAGGCCCTTCACTTGCACATGTGGTATTATGGGGCTGGGGTCCTCCAGCCTGGTCCCCTCTATCTTGCCCATAGTACAGGGAGACTTAACACTACTGTCACCCAGGGGCTGGAGAGATGGCTCAGAGATTAAGAACATCAGGTTTTGTTCTCAGCACCCTTATGGAGGCTAACAATTGTCTGTAACTCCAGTTTCAGGGGATCTGAAGCCCTCTTCTGACCTCCTTGGGCATTGCACAACATGGGTACACTCACATACATGCGGGCAAAACACCCATATACATAAAAATTTTATTAAAAAATACCCAAATCCTTGCCTAAATTGTATGTGCATACCCAGGAGTGCTGTCTGTGTACTTAAGAGCTAGGTGTCTCTGGTTTTGTATATGTCTGTGTTGCATATATGGCGAAACATTTTATGTCTCTAGATATACTCTTCATAGGCCCAGGAATGTAGTGAGGTCTGAGCTATATATAGGGCTCTGGTTATATGAATGCCTAGAACTACATACACCTTCCGTGCCCGGGAGTGCTGCACATGACCAGTTGTTGTGTACTTGTAGAGTTGTATGCTTCTAGACTGCATGAGTGGCTCTTTCTGCTATGTGGGTGTGAGCAAGGGGAGGGAGCCCGTGTGTGCTCTAAAGTGCTGACTGTGGGGCTAAGAGCATGGAGTGTGTGTCCTACTCAGGAGTACTGGCTGCTGTCCCATACTAAGAGCACCTAACTGGCACAGTGACCACATGAGCTGACTGATTGGGACTCTGTGTAGCCCCAGAGATATGTGTGCTTTAAACCTGTGGTGCTTGTCTTTTTCAATAGGTGTAGGCACATCTGGCGTTGGCTGAGTAGATCTGATTTCTGAGGGTTTGTGTTTGTGCATAAATATACATAAGGTTGAGACTTACATGTAAGGCTTGGCCAAAGGTCCCATTGCTACATGCTAATCTCTCTCTCTCTCTCTCTCTCTCTCTCTCTCTCTCTCTCTCTCATTTATATTGTAAAATCAAAATTTCTCTTTTCTGAGAAGTCCATCACTCTCATCCCATACCTTTTCCTGGAAAGCAGGGGTGAGAAGCCTGGGACTTAGGGAGTGGAGCAAGGGACTGGCAGGCAGAACACTGTGTTCAATTCTGGACTCATAGTTACTGTGTGACTATCAACTGCTGTCTGCCTGTCTTTGAAAAGAAATGGCATCTAGTGTGCCTCCCACTCTATGGGGTCACCGAGTACCTCCAGCTGTTGGAGGTCAGCACTCCCGTTCTGACCATGCCTCTTCTGCCTTCATTCCCACCAGCTCAGCAGCACAACATACCCTGTGGTAGTGAAAATGGGTCACGCACACTCTGGGATGGGCAAGGTGAGTCCCAGGCAAGGGATGAGTACATGCATGCATGTTTGTATAGTGCATGCTTCTGTCACTGTATATAGGTAGATATGTATCTGCCTGTACAACATGCACCAGTAGTTCTGTTTGAAGTGCACTCTGGGATTCTTCATCTATTTGGATTTTGTTTTTTTCATATTCAGATGATTTCTGTCAGCCCATCTTCTTCTCATGCGTTCAACCAATTTTTGTGTGTCCCATGATTGCACTAGTGTACCCAGCACATGGCTATGTATATATAAGCATGCCTCTGTGCTGAAAACACATCATGTCATCTTTTATGTTCCAGGCTCTTGGGGTCCAGTATGCTTTCCATCCAGCTGATTTTGTCTGTGTGTTATATAGCAAGCAGACTTGTTATTTGTAAGTTTGAGTGTGTTCTAGCTTCTGTGTTTGTATACTGTGTGCACAACTGAGTTTTTGTGATGATATGTGGCCTATGTATAGTTCTTTTTACAGATTTATTGAGATATAATTCAAATTTCATACAGCTCCATTTAAAGTGGATAATTTGCACAGTGGTAGAGTGCTTGCTTAGCATGTCTAAGGCCCTGTGTTTGATCCCCAGCACTGCAAGAAAAGTGGTTTTTAGTATGCTCACAGAAGTGCATACAACAAACTTTGTGTTTGTATGTACATATATGAAACAGGAGACCTATAATTATGCATGCTGGAGTGCCTTGGTGTGTCTACCTTAAGACACCTCCACTGCCAACTACTGTCCTGATCCCTACCCTTGTGCCCACAGGTCAAGGTGGACAACCAACACGATTTCCAGGACATTGCAAGTGTTGTGGCACTGACTAAGACGTATGCCACTGCTGAGCCCTTCATAGATGCCAAATATGATGTGCGTGTCCAGAAGATTGGGCAGAACTACAAGGCATACATGTGAGTGGAGAGACAGGGGCCTGTGGAAGGGCCCAGCCCTGTGCATGCCAGGCCTCTCTAAGCCTCTTCCCCCTTTTCCCTAGGAGGACATCAGTGTCAGGGAACTGGAAGACCAACACCGGCTCAGCAATGCTTGAGCAGATTGCCATGTCTGACAGGTGGGAGATCCAGTTGAGGAGAAGGGAAGGGAGTTTACTTGAGCAAGGCTGACGACAGGCTTCCCTGCCCCTTGTCTTGGCAGGTACAAGCTATGGGTGGACACATGCTCAGAAATTTTTGGGGGACTCGACATCTGCGCAGTAGAAGCGCTGCATGGCAAGGATGGAAGGGATCACATTATTGAGGTGGGAACACCCAGGGATCAGTGGGACACAGAGGGAGGAGTGGGTGCATGGAAGCAATAATCCAAACTGTAAAGTGTTTTGTGAATAAGAAAGTCCTCAGTGAATGGTGATATAAACTGTAAAGTACCTTGTGAACTGGGACATCCCTAGCAAATGGCAGTGTTCGACACTTGCATATCCTTGGTGAATGGCAAAACCTGTTAAGCTATAAAGTGCTCTGTGAATGGAGGAAACTTGGTAAATGGCAAAGTTCTTAGTTATGAACCATAGTGAAGCAGTCTGTAAAAGACAAAGCACCCAGTAAAAAGAAGAAAAAGACTGAACTCACCCTTAGCTCATGAGCCATATAAAAACACGTAGAAAGCCAGATTTGGTCCATGGCCCTGACTTGCAGACCTAATTCTAAAGGCCCTCCGAAGCTGTCCAGGGCCTGTCACACACAAACTTTCTTTAGTATACAAACAGTGCCCCTTAGAAACCAGAGCTGTCTTCCTTGCAACCACCATGCTTTCCACCAAGTGAAAATCTGTTGTCAGAGCTAGGCGTGGTAGCACATGCCTTTAAATCCCAGCACTTGGGAGACAGAGGCTGGTGGATCTTTGTAAGTTCAAGGCCAACCTGGCCTACATAGTGAGTTCCAGGCCAGCTGAGGCTATGGGGAGACCCTGTCTCAAAAGAGGACCAAAAAAAAAAAAAAAGAAAAGAAAAAAAAAGAAAATGTGTTGTCATTGTGGTCTCAGATATGCTTCCTGCTTCTTCCTACACTGGATTCCTTTTCCTCCCACAGGTGGTGGGCTCCTCCATGCCACTCATTGGTGATCACCAGGATGAAGACAAGCAGCTCATTGTGGAGCTGGTGGTCAACAAGATGGCTCAGGCCTTGCCCCGGCATCGGCAACGTGATGCCTCCCCAGGCAGAGGCTCCTACAGCCAGGTCAGGCCCTTGGCATGGAGCTAGTTGGACCAAGGTCCACCCTTGGTCAAACTGGTACCACTGAGGAGAAAATCAGTAGGCTACCAGTATCACCTGTGGCCTCAATTACCAGTTGTTTGAAATAATAGCTGTTACCTTGCCATCCTCAAGTGCCTCCTAACCAAGCGTTGGGTGGGGGAACCTCACAACCCCACATTCTCTCAGCTGGCCACAAATGGGGCAACACTGAGCACGAAGGGAATCCTTGTCACTTGGATTAGCTGTTGCTCCAATGGCTGGTAACATTTTCATTCCTCTATGGCAGACTACATCCCCTGGGGCCCTGCCCTTAGGCCGCCAGGCCTCCCAGCAGCCTGCAGGACCTCCTGCTCAGCAGCGACCCCCACCCCAAGGTAAGTGAGGGCAGGCTTCCTTGGTCCTTGCATCCCAAGCAGGCTGACCTTTCTCTCACTCTCTCTCACTTTCTGTTCTCTCTGTACCCAGGTGGCCCACCACAGCCAGGACCGGGGCCCCAGCGCCAAGGAGCCCCACTGCATCAGCGCCCGCCCCCACAGGGCCAGCAGCACGTTTCCGGCCTTGGGCCTCCAGCTGGCAGTCCTCTGCCTCAGCGCCTACCAAGTCCCACATCAGCACCTCAGCAGCCTGTGTCCCAGGCCACACCGATGACCCAGGGTCAAGGCCGCCAGTCCCGGCCAGTGGCAGGAGGCCCTGGAGCACCTCCTGCAGCCCGCCCTCCAGCCTCTCCATCTCCCCAGCGCCAGGCGGGGCCCCCACAGGCTACTCGGCAGGCATCCGTCTCTGGTCCAGCTCCGTCAAAGGCCTCAGGAGCCCCACCCAGTGGGCAGCAGCGCCAGGGCCCTCCCCAGAAACCTCCTGGCCCCGCCGGCCCTACACGCCAGGCCAGCCAGGCGGGTCCGGGCCCTCGCACTGGGCCACCCACCACGCAGCAGCCCCGGCCCAGCGGCCCAGGTCCTGCTGGCCGTCCCATCAAGCCTCAGCTGGCACAGAAACCCAGCCAGGATGTGCCGCCATCCGCCACTGCTGCTGCCGGGGGACCCCCGCACCCCCAGCTCAAGTAAGGGGACCTCTACAGCAGCCTTTGGCCTTGTTGCTCACATAGAGCGCTGGTCCCAATAGGGCAGCCCCAGCTCCCATGCAAAACCAAGCCCCATCTTCCTGAGAACTCTCCAGACTGAGCCAAACCCCTCCTCTAGGCTTTCGCTACTTCCCTGCATCCAAATCCTTTAGTGTCCAGCCCAGTGGTTTGGTGCCAAAATCCCAGAATACCCACTTCCAGTTCTGATTCCTCCCAACAGGCCCTGGGAAAGTCCCCATTCCAGACCCGTGGCCCCTCCCAGTTGCCTGACTGACTCTCTTCCAGTTCCTCCCAGCCCTCACCCCTCCTCCTCCCCACAGCCCCTCAACTGCCTTAGGCCAATTTGTAGCCTTCAATCATTTCACTCTTCTCCCCTCAACCTTTGCCTAAGAGTCAGAATCCTTTCTGGGCCATCTCCAAATTCTCCTGGCACTTTTCATCCTCCCAGATCACCACTCTTTGTTTCTTCTGGTCATTTCATCGCCCCAGCCCTTGGCTCAAAGGTCCTCCCTGCCCCACCCACTTGTTCCCCCTTAGAGTGGCTTGCCCCAACCAGCCTGTCCTAGGCTCAGGACCTTCCCAGACTCATCTTTTGACTGGAAACCTCCCTCTCATTCTCCCTTCATAACAAAGTAGCCTAGAATTGGGCAGAGCACTCTTTCCATTAATCCTACACCACTACCTTGCATCCAGCCCACTCCACATCCCAGTTCCCTGGCTCTGCCTGCTCCAAGCGCCCTCCCAGCCTTGAAAATCCACCAGGGACTATGTTTAGGGGTGGGAAGGTCACAGGCACAGCCCCAGGATCAGAGGGGCAGGGCTGGGGCTGGGCCTGGGGTAACATTGTGTTTCTCTCCCTTCCTCCCCTTCCTCTTCCCCCTTCCTCCCATGCCTCCACCTTGTCTCTCTCTAGCAAATCCCAGTCTCTGACCAATGCCTTCAACCTTCCAGAGCCAGCCCCGCCCAGGCCCAGCCTTAGCCAGGATGAGGTGAAAGCTGAGACCATCCGCAGCCTGAGGAAGTCTTTCGCCAGCCTCTTCTCCGACTGACACCCCACTGAGAATCCCTAAATCCCCGGGCAACCCTCTCTGGGTCCATTTCTCACTTTTGGAATTTCCAAATCCCTTGAGAACGCCTCTCTTGGTTCTCCAACATCCCACTTCTCATCCTCAAGATGCCGAAGTCCCTTGAGAAACCTGGTCCTAAATCCGGTTCTCACATTTGGAAATCCACAAGTCCTTTTAGTATCCTGCTCCTGGTCACCTCAAAATCTGTTTTAGAACCTCCAAATTCCTAAAGATCTCCATTCCTGGTATCCCTAAAGGATGATTTCCTTCTTGAAAGTTCCCAAATACCAGAAAACCTGTTTCTGGCCTAATACCATGGAATCCCCTCCTGGAGCTCTGAAATTCCTGGAAAATCCTATTCTAGTCCTGGTCCTGAATCACTCCAGCACACCTTGCTCCTAATCAGGAGTTTCTAATTCCTCAATAATCCCTTAAATCCCTTTCCATGGGTCTTCCCTCTGGAGACCCACATCTTCAAATGCTACCTGCCATCCACCACCCAGATCCTCACCAATTTCCCTTCACCAGCTCCCCTCAACCCCGTTCAACACAGGAAGTTCCTTCCACTTCTAGGACCCCTTGGTTCCCAGAAACCCCTTCCCCAGTTTCCTGCCTCTGACAGCTGTCTTAAATATGCAAATCCCACCCATGCTCCCAGAATCCTTTGCACATGGAAGACCAATGGTCTCCCACTTCCCCACCTTTGCCGTGATGTCTGTGTCAGTGACTGACGTGGCCTCCTCTTGTGCTGTGCTTGGCATATGTGGTCCTCGTTCATCTTGTGCCGCCTGTGGTGATGCGTGCAGTGGCGCTATTTGTGTGGTCCGCACCTTCCCCTAACCTCCACCCCTTGCCTGGACTTCCCCCACCCCTCAGCAACTCTGAATCCCAAGAGAAGAGTCGGGAAGCAAAATAAATAAGCAAAGGCCCAGCAGAATTCTGTGCTTCTTGGTAAAGAGGAGAGTCCTTGGATAGTGGGGGACACAAAGGGAACCCCCCAAATCCACATGGGGTGCTGGAGACCCCAAATCCAGTGAAGGCACATCATGCACAAATTCCCGAAAGTTTCTGAGTGGAATCCCTGCCACAAATCCCAGCCATTGGAGATGGAAGAGCTCTCCAAATCAGAAGTATCATCAAAGTCAAGAGGAAACCAAATTATGAAAGCAGGGGTTCTCAGTATTGGGGGGGGGGTCCCTGAATTCCAAGGTAACTGGAAAAATACAAAGGGACCCTCATATCTTCCAGGGTCGGGGATTGGGGATCCTGAGGCAGTATCAAGGTAGAGACAGAACATTGATTGGCTGTTGGGCAAAGAGAACTCCTTGGCATGACAGGCTGAACTAGGCTCCCAGGTGGCTGGGGGTGGGGCCTAAGGTACAAGGCGCGCTGCGCTGAGAAGGCAGGCAGGTAATTCATCAGCCTGGGTTCGGTGCAAGGAGGGTTCCGATGCACTCCGCTCAATCTTGGGAAGTGACCGTTGCAGCAGCTCAATTGTGGCCAGGATCTAGAGGCAGGTGGGAATGAAGAGGGGGTGTCCAGAGTCCCACAGGCACCCCTGTATCCCCAGGCCCCAGCCTCCAACACGGTTCATGTTCACATCGGCCTGTCTCAGTGTCCTCTATCTCACCTTGCTTCCAAGGTATCCAGCCAGCTTCCCAGACTCACCTGGGGAAAGAGTGGCCGCTCCTCCCGCTGGAATTTGAGGCAGTCAGAAAGCAGGCGGCGCATGGCCTTAGGGCAGTTACTGGAGATTTTGCTGAGGTCAGGAGACAGGTAGCCACGGCCCACCATAAAGATAATCTACAGGGTGATGGGATGATTTTGGGTTGAACTAGGAGGCCCAAGGAACTGAGTCTCAAGGAATGTGGAAGGTTCATTTTGGGGAACTGGGGGGCTCTAGTATTGAGGCCCAGAGGAATCTTGGGTCTGAGGACTTACGGGGATTCTCTGCTGACAGAACAGAGGGAATTAAGTTTGGGCTATCAAGGATTGTAGGTGTGTATAGCCTAGAACAATGAGTCCAGAGTTTTCTAGAGGCCTGGAAAATACTGAAACTCAGATAAATGCAGAGTATTGTATCTTGGGGAATATGTATTTTTGTAGGGGTCTGGAGTATGGATGGCTATGAATCTATGCAGCCTATAGGATTTTTAAGTATACAGGGCCCAAACACATGGTATCTGGAGCCTAGATGATCCTGGTATTTAAGGGCATGGAATGTTCTGGACCTTGAATTTGGAGAACTGTGAGAATCTGGGACTTAGAGCATTATGAATGCCAAGGCCCCAAAGCCTGGGTGACTGAGGGTATTTAAGAAGCACAAAGGGATTCTTTATCTGAGAGAAATGTGATTCTGAACATTGGGGACTTGGAGTATTTTGAGCACCCACAGCAGGAGACTATAGGTGTCAAGGGTCCAGAGAGCCTCTGGATGTTTTGGGGTCTAGGGATATTCTGGGTAGAGGATGTCTGGGTAGAGGAATCTGGACTTTAAGGGTTCTGTCCCAGGGGTTTGTGGATGTTGGGGGGAGGATGGGAATTGGTGTGGGACACCTAGGAGATAGTCTCTAGGACTCTTCATTTAGAAAATCCTAGGTCTAGGGAAAAGTGTAACATTATTGGTCTGTGCAAAGGAGGGTATCTGGAGCTTGAAGGTCTGAGAACTGAGGATGAGGTATGGGGCTCACCTGGTCACGGCTGCCAATGTGGCTATAAGGCAGTGAACCGGTCATGAGCTCGTACAGCACAACCCCATAGGCATAGACGTCCGACTGAAAGCTGTAGGGGTTTGGGTCCTGCATCCGGATCACCTCAGCTGCCTTCAATAGGCCAGAAAGGGAAGGGAACCACAGGGGTCAGCAAATGGCTGGACCACAGTACCAGATCCAGCTGGTCACACTGAGGACAACTAGGAGCCACCCACAAGGTAAAACTTGAGTAGTTCAGATACCCACACTTGGCATAGGTATCCCCATCTCTGCTTAATCCCACATGTCCCAATCCTGGACCCACATCTTCCTGTATTCCACATCCAGCTTGGTCCAACTCACCATCCATAGCACAGAGCCCGAGGGCTGCTCCAAGGGCTGAGCCCCACTCCACCTCGTCTTCACTGTGGCCAGGCCGAAGTCACCAATCTTCACTGTAAGCCCCTCATGCAGGAAGATGTCTAGCAGGGTCAAGGACTACTACAGAGACTCTCAATAGTTATGCCTCTCACCCTGACTGAGAGGTTCTTATTAGTACCCCCATGCTGGTAAGTCATGTCTCTGACCAAAAGCCCCCCCCAATTTCATACTAATTACCCATAATTAATGCCCTCTCACTTGGTCCCATTGTTATTCCTGGCCAAAGAGCCACTTGATTGGCACCACAAACTGTCATGCCTATGACACTGATCATGAGCTCCCTGTAATGTCCTCTACAACTGCAACAACCTCACATCCTGACTGGAGTCCTCCATTTAAAGGTGCCTTAGCAGCCACAGCTCTGCTACCTGGCAAGAAGTCATGGGACACAGGCCCTTCCCCCCTCACCTCCAGAAGAACCATCTCTCTAAACCATCACCCTGCTTAACTGCCCACTGCAATCTCAGCTGGGCACAGGTAGATACTGTTGGACTTGAGGTCTCGGTGGATGATGTTCTTGGCATGGAGGTAGCTGTGGAGGTGGAAACAGGTGGTGAACTGGCTAGAGGCTATTCATCCCTCTCTCCCTCCCTCCCTCCTCCCCAGTCCCCAAGATGTGAGACTCACTCCATGCCCTGGGCAGTCTGCCGGGCCACGTCGATGAGCTGGACCATGTCAAAACGTGTGTCAGCTACATGCAGATGGTGGTAGAGGCTGGAGCCCTCACACCACTGTGTGATGATGGCAAACCCTGGCCGAGTCATAAAGCCCATGAACAGCAAGATGTTGACATGTCGTGTCTTCCTGTAGGCAGTAAGGGAAGGTTGGGGGGAGTGTCAGAAAAATATCAGTGTCATACATTACTGAGTGTCTGAAAGAACCATTTCAGTTGCTTTCTGTCATTCATTTCACCTTGTCTTTTAGGGTACTCAGGACCAGGGTATTGTCAGCTTCCAATTTATGAGATACGCTTGCTAGACTGATTCTCAGCTGACCTTCCTCAACAAAAGCAGGTGGGAGGGATTACTGTCTCTACTTCTCTACTTACTAGAAGTATCTCAAATCTTCACATCTTCCATACCTCCACACTGGCTGCTGCCTAGGCCTATAACAATTCTATTTTATTCACCCCCATTCTCCCTCTTCCATCCTCTTCCTCCTTCTTTTTTGAGAGGTCTTATGCTGTATACCAAGCTGGTCTGGAACTCACTAAGTAGCCCAGGCTGGCCTCAAACTCTCAGCAATCCCCCTGCCTCAGCCTCCCAAACACTGGAATCATAGGCATGAGCCACCACATCCAGCAGGGGCTATTATACAGATGAAAAAGTGAAATGTCAACCTTCTTTATCAGTAGTGATAAACACAGGATCAAAACATGAAAACAAGGGTAACATGGGAGGATTAATCACTATGAAAGGCTTAGAAGTGAAAAATCTGGAGTTTGGACCTAAATTGTATCCTGAGTTCAATCCCAACCTTTACGTACTGTGCAACTTTCAGGAGAACCTCTCTGTTCCTAAACTATAAACTGTGATCATCACATCACAGTAGCTACCTTATAGGGATGTCAGGAAGGATGAGTAAATAACCTATAAAGTCCTTAAAAGTATGCTGAACACAGTAAACACTCTGAAAGCTCCATTTCTTGTTGTCAGTGCTTTTGAGTATCTGGATCTGTCTCACAGAAATTATCACATACAAATTCTTTTACCCTAGTTATGAGAAAACCTCATTCCTTTTTGTAAGTATTAACCATAGTTAGAAACTGCACAAATGCAAGCAACAGTGACAATGCTCTGCAATTCTGCTTAGGTCACAGATAACAAACATCCACGATTCCCTTTGTGATGTTTTGGTGGTGTAGTTGCAACCCAGAAACCTCTCATATGCTAAGCATACATTCTACCACAGAGCTATACCACTGGCTCAACACATGAGGACTTTTTTGTTTGAAATTTTTGGATTTATTATTTACTTTTATTTTATATGTATGTTTTTCTTGCATGTATGTAAATGCACTCATATCATACAATGCCCATTGAGGTCAGAAGAGGGTGTTGGCTCCCCAGGAATTGGAGTTCAGACAGTTGTTGGCCACCATGTGGGTGCTGGGAATCAAACCTGGGTCCTCTGAAAGAGCAGCTAGTGCTTTTGACCACTGAGCCATCTCTCCAGTACTAATTTTTTGGTCTTTTTGAAACAGGGTCTCCCTGTAGCCCCAGCTGTCCTGGAACTTACTATGTAGACCAGTTTGGCCTTGAACTCACAGAGATCCATCTGCCACTGCCTCCCAAGTGCTGGGACTACAGGCGTGCACCACCAGGATGGTCTTGAACCTCTGATCCTCTTGCCTCAGCCTAAGAGGCGCTAAGATTACAGTCATGCACCAGCACACAACTACACAGAGCTAAACATACTTAAAAAATCTTTTTGAGACAGGTTCTTACAAATAGTCCACATTAGCCTTGAACTCTGTGTGTGTGTGTGGGGTGTATGGGTGCCATAGTGTGGATGTATTAGTCAGAGGACAATTTGCAGGAGTCGATTCTCTCCTTCTACCATGTGGGTCCCAGGGATTCAACTCAGATTATCAGGTTTGGCAGTGGGTACTTCTTTTACCTGCTGAGCCATCTCATTCACCCAAAAAAATCTTAATAGTGGTAAGCCAGTAACTAAAGTATGAATAGAGTGCAAATTAGTGCACACTCTTATCATTAACATTTCAAACGGATGAGCTGAGAATAAAAGTTTTCTTACTGCAGCATGCATTGTGTCCATTTGATAGAGAGGAAAAGCCCATGTAGGCATTCCCAGGATGACAGAAATTATACAATCCTGATAGCTTGGAGTAGAGCACCATGGTAGGACATATGCTTAGTATGGGTGAAGCTCTGGGCTCCACAAAAAAACAACAACTATACAGTCTTGCCTACATCAAGCAGAGGTACACAGTACTATGCTATGTAATAACTCTAGTGGCTAAAAGGCTGCCACCCCTGAGATTCTCAGTGTGAATGAATTAATATAGTGTTGATTATACATGTAATTATAGCAATTATAAATAATTGGATTATGGTTATGATTATAATTACTAATACCATTCTTTACATTAAAGCATTATTACAATTAACATAATAAGCCTGTAACACAATAAACAACATGAATGAATTAGCAAAAAGGAACAAAGGATTGAGTCCTCCTGGAACTGGGGTTACCTAACTATGTTCTTCATGTAAGTGCTGGTGATCATGGGAATGGCCTGTGGCCAGACCTAGTTCTTAGTCAGCAAATGAGGAAATCCTCATTTTGGAAGCAAAGCCACTAATAGCAACATTCATACAAACAAATAATAACATCATCACAGGTCCTCTAAAGAGGCCCATTGCCCAGATGGGAAAGAGACATCCTTGAGAGAGAAACCAAGTTTGATGATGCTTCCAGTACAACACAAATGTAATGGACACCCAGGAAGTATGCCATCAATGGCTTTTTACAATGAAGTCTCAAACACCACTTCACACCACCCATACATATAGTGACCTCACCTGAGCACCTGCATCTCATTCTTGAAGGCCTGGGCCTGCTCAGCAGTAGGTTGGGCCACCTTGAGCACCTTCACAGCCACATCACCATGCCACCGCCCCCGAAACACAGTGCCAAACGAGCCTGTCCCGATCCTCTTCAAGAGCTGTACCTCACTAGGTGGCACCTCCCAGTAATAGCCTGAGTCCCGGTACCCCAGGTTCTTCTGTGGGCCAGATGGGTGGTATCAGAGGGGCCTGCCTTACACCCCTCAGTAATGCCACTTAGCCTGTGGTGCCCCACCCCAAGGATTCCCCATGACATACCACTTTCTTCTTTTCATCTGCCAAGGACTTTCGTTCCCGCTGCTCTGAAGGTGACTTGGAATGTGGGGACTTCCTCCCTGAGGACACACTGGCTGGGCTGGGGCTCCCCCGGGAGGCTCCATCACTACCACCTCTACCAGCAGCTATGGTTGTGCAGAGTATTGTGAGTGGAAGTGGAGTAGTGGGACAGGGAGGGCTCAGGGTACAGGAAGGGGATGGGGCTCTCTCACCATCACTGCTGAAGCTCTGAGCCGTGATCTGGAAATGGGGACAGAAGTCAAAATGAGTATACGGCGACAGGACTGGCTCTGAGCAATGCCCCATGCTCCCCACCACTGCCTCCTTGGCACCCACCTGCAGGAGGTTAGAGTCCATGGGAGCTGTGGTGCTGACCATGTGGACGTTAGGAGTGGATGTGGAGCGGATGCGCTGCAGGGGGGCATTGGCCGGAACAGGGAAAGAGAAGTGCTCCGGGTCACAGTGCTGGGTGCAGGGGCTAATAGAGAAAAAGCTGTGAAATTGCTGCTGAATGAAGCAAAAAGCCAAGAGAGCCCAACCCTGCCACCCTGACATGTCTGGTACTCGTACTAATAATCAGCGGTTTAAGAAACATTTATTGAGTGTCTTTTGTGTGCCAGAACCCCTTCTAAGTAATGAAGATAAAATAAATAAAAGTTCTTGCCCTTGTGGGATTATTCTAGCAGAGGGAGACGAATTAAAAAAAAAAAAACAGAAAAAATATAATATACACAAAAAGGGAAAAATAAAGTAAAGTAAAGGGGTAGAAAATGTCCCTGGGGGAGTCAGGATAATCTTCTCAGAAAAAGTGACATTGGGGCAAAGGCCTAAAGGAAGGACAGTAAAGGTCAAAGATAGTTGGAGAAAGGGTAAAATATGATATTTTATTGCATATTATAATGACATATATTACTCAAATATATTATTTATTTTATAATATGCATCACCTATATTAAAATGGCACTGTTTTATAACATATATATTATCACATTGTCTAATACATATGTTGTACATATACAGGTTATACATATTATCATGTTACAGAAGATATTTGGTGTTTTGAGGCAGAGTCTCATATAGCCCAGGGTGGTCTTGAACTTGCTATTTAGAAGAGGTGGCCTTAAACTCCTGATTCTCTTGCCTCCACTTCCCATGCTAGTCACACTTGGCACAAAAATATTTTTATGTTCCTTTCACTATCCTGAGATTAAATTCATGGGTAATTAATACACATACACTCATGAGTAAAAATAATAATACCTTAACCTTACCTTTTTACATTATATAAAAATATATGGTGTCAGCCGGGTGTGGTGGTGCACACCTTTAATCCCAGCACTTAGGAGGCAGAGGTAGGCAGATCTCTGTGAGATTAAGGCTAGTCTGGTCTACATAGTGAGTTTCAGGCCAGCTGGGGCTACAGGGAGACACTGTCTCATAGACACACACAAAACAAACAGACAGACAACAACCCAGAAGTCTGGGGACTATCTTAAGCTGTAGTCGGGCGTGGTGGCATATGACTTTAATCCCAGCACTCGGGAGGCAGAGACAGGCAGATCTCTGTGAGTTGGAGGCCAGTCTGATCTATATAGTGAGTTCCAGGACAGCTGGGGCTACAGGGAGACCCTGTCTCAAAAAAAAAACCCCAAAATGGTGTCTTTATATTATATTCAACATAAGATAAATAAAAGGCAGGTACTTTCTGATACAATTACATTTATTTCAAAGTGGAAAGATTTGAGCATGGTTATACTGGCAGAATGGATAAATTAGATGTCTTATATATACATTTATAATTAATAATAACTGATATTTCCTCTGTACCAGATCCTTCTTTAAGCACTGGACATGTCTCAACTCTTTTAATCCTCATCAGAGCCCTGAGAGGCATAAAGTATCTTCCCCTCTTCACATATGAAAAACTGAAGCCCAGAAAGATTAGGTGAGTCACCAATGGCTCCACAACCCCATGCCCTTACCCACGCTTGCAGGTGCTCAATATTTGTCAAGTAAACACACGAATAAAAGTATGGTCTACAAGGTAACTCAGATCTTCTTCTCACCATCCCCAGACTTTCAAGGAAGACATCCCTACCTGGGACCCTGGGGGGTTAGTGGCTCAGAGCGGTTTGAGGGAGCCTCCTGTTGCCTGGAGCCTCCAGACAAATCCTGGATGCTTTGGTAGAACCTTGAGGGCACAAAGGTGTAAAACAAGATACAGGTGTTGAGTCAGCTGTCTGTAAGGTCTTGGAGCTGGACTTCTGTCCTCCCCATCCCCAAAGCCACCCCAGGCTGGGCTCACTGTTGGCGGTTGGTACTCATGTCCACACAGACTGTGGGGACCTTGGAGGAACAATGCTGGTGGAACTTGTAGCCACAGGTTTGGCAGCGAAAGCCATGGAACAGAAACTTAAGGCAGAAGTCACAGAAAGCCAAGCTGAAGAATGTCTTCCGTACCTGCCATGATAGAGGAAAGTGAAGTCCAGGCCTGGCTGGGGACCATCCTGTCACCTTTATGGCCTGTCCACCTACTCCTGCTGTACTTACAAAATTATGCATGGTCAGTGGTACATCTTCTAGGACTTCCACAATGAGCTCTTCACCATCTAGGGGGGCAATGGCTGTGTCCCAGGCAGTGACTGTCTTTCGCCTGCAACGAGCATGGGAGAGAACTAGTAGGATGGCAGACAAGGGCCATAGTAGGCAGGGAAGCCTCCAAGGTGCCTCTCAGCCCCCATCCATGGACTATTCTGATATGTTTCATTGTCATTAAGTTAGTCACTATTCTTGCTCCCATTTTATAGAGCGGGAAACAGGCTCAAAGGATAAAGTGATTCACCCAATTCCTGGGATCACAGTTGTGCCCACCACACCCAGACTCAGTCCATGCTCTTAGTGATAAGGTAAGAGGCAAATGAAACTAAATCTCAGTGCTAAGCCAGTACCTGAGAAAGGACCTGATGAAACTGAAACAAGATAAAAATGTAAAACATGAACTGGATTTAAAAAGCACAGGAATAAATGGAAGGTCAATGAGGACCAACTCCATAGTAAAGAGGGAAACTGAGGAAGGAGAGAGCTGATGAATCCAGGAAACTGTGAAAGAACAAAATAGATGAACTCTAGGAGGTGACACTGCGCAGTGACTTGGGGGCCAAGTGGAGAATGAGCTGCAGACCTTCCATGTCAATGAATGGCTGAAGTAAAACAAGATGTTACCTGGGTTACTGAACTAGTGGAATACTTCAAGACAGAATGAAGGAGGAGTAAAATGACACTGAAGGAGGAGGTGAGTGGGACCTAGTATTTGGCACAGGGCTGCCATACTTACCCTTTGATGAGTCTGTAGACCACACAGCAGTCCTGATTGAGGCCCCGTACCTTGAGGGCCTTGTCCAGAGAGTCATAGACACTCATGCCATCCCGGACAGTCACCTATGCATGTGTGTGCAGAGGTTGGGGTCTTCAGTACCCAACAGGTACCTAAGCCAATTAATCCATCCCCCTGCAGTGGCCATTCCCCACCCCTGGTCATTTTTCTGATCCCAAACAAGGATCACCTGCAACCCCCTGCCAATTTTGCCCCTTCAACTCACCACTGTGCGTTGCTTGTTAGGCAGGTACACCTTAACAGTGCCCACTGCCCGGGATGGCTCAGCCCCATTAGCAGGGGAACCTCTCGGTGGCTCCATGGAGCCTAAGACTTTGTCAAGATGGGCTGAGGTGGGGCTGGGAAGGTGCCATGGGGCTCCTAGGAGAAGGCAGAAATTTCAGCAAGTCTAGTAATAATAGTAGTGTTAGAGTACAAAATAACATTCCACCCCCTAACTCCCATTGCTCCCGAAGCCCAATTTTCATGAAACAGTGTAATGATGCTAACACCTGAAGTCTATCCTTCTCTGCCCAGAATCTATTACTGATCTCACAGATGAGTGCCAAGATCTCAAGATCTCAGACTCACTGTACCGAGGAGGCAGCACACACTGTCCTAGAGGGGACAGTACAAAAGGCTCTTCTGAAAACTAATGAGGAAGTCAGTATGAACTGCACTGGAGTCGTGGGTGTCAGATGCATAATGGGCATGAACAAGCTGTCCTGGCTTTTAATAGAGAGTGAGGTGACCAGACACTGTGGTGAAAGAAGTCACAGACAGGGGGATGGAAAATGGAGGATGGTCAGATATTGTCCTTAAACTAAGGGGAAATGGAGGACTGTACTAATGTTCTTAAAGGCCACTGTGGGCATCCCAGAGCTCTGAGCTGCAATGTTAATGGATTACAAGCACTGTCAGACAGCTAACAGAAGTCACCAGACTCTTGTGATGAGTTCACAGAGAGGGTCACCACACACTCTGCTGAAGAGAGATGCAATAGGAGTCACTAGGGACTGTGTTTGGGAGGAAGGTGGGTAATGGGCAGCACAAACAGAAGTGGCAATGGTGGCTCAACATATGACACCATCATAGGGAAAGGAAAAGGAAGATAGTGGGGGCCAGGTGAGGAAAATGGAGGTAAGGTTGGGGAGAGGGTCTCTAAAACTCTCCCTGATAACTACTGAGGGGTCACAAACAGTGTATACTCATTGGGAAGTCAGGGAAAAAGCTGGTGGTGAATACTTAGACATTTCCCTAGGTCAGATACTGATAGAGAATAAAAAAACATGGGAGTGAGCTGCATCTCCAGGACTTGGAGAGGACGGATCATCCAACACTTGGAGGCGTTTAAGAGTGTTTCTGGGATCAAGACCCCAGACCCCATATGGCCTGGTCCTGCCCTCCCTAAAGTCGTCGGGCTCTGCGCAGGCGCACTGCAACTCTGCGGGCGAAACCATCACGGCAGCCTGCACCCCACTCCCTCAGTCAAAGATGGTCTCGCCCCGGGTCAAACCACTCCTTGGGTTCCGGGCAGGGGGCGCCTGGATTCACACACAGCCATCCTTGAGCTTAACTTTCGGTCCGGAATCCCTGCCCGGGCCTCGCGGTCTCTCATAAATCCAAACCCGACCGTCACACCCTCACCTGTCACGCCGCTACCACCGCCACCACCTCCATCTTGGGCTTGTCTTCTTGTTTCCTTGCACAGTCCGCCTCCACTGCCCCTCGGGTTTTCGCTATTGGCTCTACGGGACTCGGCACTCTATTCTTATTGGAGGATGATCACGCCTGTCAAGACAGGACCAGCGGAATGTGGGTCGTGTTCCGGATTAGGAGGGGAGGCAGCAGAGGGAGGCTCTGGGGCAAATTCGCATTCCCTGATTGGTGCAGGCGCAATGAGGGCGAGAACTGGGTGCCAAAGTCTTTAACTCCAACCATGCCATGGAATAAAGAAGATTGTTCTTTCTTGTTTGGTTAGTTTTTCTTTTATTTCTTATTTATTTGGGGTTGACCTTAGGAATCTGGGCGAGAGAAATCCTTACATGAATTTGGAGTAAGTGCCTTAAGGACCTTTTATAGGACTTTGCTGTGTCTTAGTTTTACTGTCTTTAAAATGGGTTCGACTCAGGGAAAACATGATGTTCAATATTCGCCGGCTCTAGGAGACTGTAGTCAATAGCCTTTGATAATGGTGGATCCGTGATGGAGGTCTGGCTGTAGGAGGAAAGGAGGGGGATGAGGAGGATTTTGAAAGACAGGCCACAGGTGGCTAGGCGAAGAAGGAAGTTTGGATCTGGAATGCAGTGCGGTAGCAGCTAATGTGTGCACATACTTTAGGATAAATACAGTTATTAATTTAAGTCTTCCCTGGCGTCACTTGATTTTAAATGGTTTTTTTGACAACCATGTCAAGAAGAAAACACGCACACACACACACACACACACACACACACACACACACACACCCTTCTTTTCTTTGAGCATTTCCTTCAGAAAACTTGTAAATATTTTCTCTGCTCATTTGAGATATATGTAAATCCCTTTAAAAGTTAAGTATGGGTCTGTGGATGAAGCTAAGCAGTAGAATGAAGCACAAGGCCCTGGATTCAATCTCCAGCACTGAAAAAAATCCCAGAAAATTAAAAAATAACATCCCTATTTCCCTATGTAATGTGAGTTTCCTTTATGTGCTGAGATCTAAGTTGTTACCTGTTTGTCATAAGATAATGAGTTTTCATTTTCCTTTGGATAAAATCAGTTAACAGGTGGCCACCTTGATTACTAGAGAGAATTTAGGAGTTGTGTGCCCCAAATGGTGCTGCTGTCACGTTTTCTTACTTCAAGACAAGTTAGTGGTTATTGTTTTAACATGTTGAGTTGAACGAATGGGTTGAATCTGCTGGCTATATAAATGGATACGATTTCTTTCTTTGAATTCTCTGCAAAAATATGACAGAAAAATAATTTGAAAATTAAAAATAAATAAAACGTGTACTCCAGCAATATCACTTCAAAGTATTTGCTCTAGAGAAATGAAAACATATGCCCAAATAGTATGCTGGTAAATGCTAACAACCAGCTTTCCAGGAAGAAAACAGCTCTAATTTGTAGCATTTGTCACTTGTGGTAGAAATACTCCTACAGTGGCTATTTCCAGTTACCAAATATGACATCACTGAAATCACTGAATCAGAGGTAAGAGAGGGACAGAATTGACTGTGGTGTGCCAACCACAGCATGCTACATGTCCACACTAGCGAGAGAAAAAAAAACCCAGGCTAGAGCCCCAACAAAAGAATTGACCAAGAAATATGACAAAGATCAGATAAGGAATACCGCTCAGCAATCAAAGAGAACTATGGAAGAGCATAGAAGAATCTCCCAGACTAAGGGAAAGAAGCCAGGCACAAAAGAAAAATGCTATTTTATTATTCCTTTTGTATAGAATTCTAAACCAGGCAAAACTAGCCCATAGTGAAAGAAGCTAGTTGTTATCTCAAAGAGAATAAGAAGGGCATTACTATGGCTTGGATGTGGTCTGTCCGTGCCAAAACTCACAGTGGAATTTGGTTGCCAATGTAGAATGAGAGATGGGATCCTTCAGAGGGCTTGATGTCTTTCTTGCTAGTCTGGATTAGTTCTTGCTTTTGAAAATGAGTTATTGGGGGTTAGGGAAATGGCTCAGTTGGTATAGTGGTTGCCACACAAGAATGAGGACCTGAGTTCATCCCTAGGACCCATGTAAAAAGAAGCCCATGGGTAGTTGTATGTGTTTGTAATCCCTGTGTGAGGAGGAGACAGAAAGATCACTGAGGCTGGCTAGTCAGCCATTGTATCCAAATCAGTGAGCTCCAGGCTAATGAAAAAGACTCTGTCTCAAAAAAATAAGATGGAGGCCATAAAGTTGGCTCAGTGGACAAAGGTGCTTATGGTCAGGCAACCTGAGTTTGATTCCTGGAACTGACTCCACCGAGTTGTCCTCTGACCTCCACATATGTGCACCTGTACCATGGCACCCTCATATCACACAATAATAAATAATAATAAACAAGGTGGATGGCACCTGAGGAAGGACCTCTGGAGGTTGACCTCTGGCTTCCAATATGTATGCACACACATATACAAGAAAATGGTTATATGCTTGTGTACAAGTTTGTGTGGATATGTACACATGTGCATGCAAGTCCATGTAGTGGACAGCAGAGGTTGATGTTGAGTTTCTCCCTTAACTACTCTCCATCTTATTTTTTGAGATAGGCTCTCGCACTGATCCTGGAGCTCACCCTTTTGGCTAGACTGGGAGGGAGGCCACCAGCTGTACATCTTTGCTTATCTCCACTTTCCCAGTGCTAAGATTACAGACGTGTACCACTGCAGCTGGCTTTCAAATGGCGGCTAGGGATCTAAGCTCAGTCCTCACACGTCTATGGTAAATACTTTGCCAACTGTGCCATCCCCCAAAAGGAGTTATGTAAGGCATCTGACCCCCTTTATCCACTCCTCCTTTTTTAAAAGAAGAGTGTGTGTGCCACATATGTGCAGGTACCTGTGGAGGTCAGAGGAGGGTGTCAGATCCCTTGGAACTAGAGTTACAGGCAGTTGTAAGCCAGCTAACATGGGTGCTGGGAATCAAACTTGGATCCTCTGGAAGAGCAACAAGTGCTCTTAACTACTGAGCCATCTCTCCAGCCCCCATACCTGTCTTCTTTATATACCCTCTTCCATTCTGTTTTCTCCTATAAGGCCCTTACCAGAGGCCAAGCAGATGCAGGTACAACAAAAGCTCTTAGACTTCCCAGACTTCAGAACCATGAGCTCAAATTAACCTATTTTCCTTTTTTTGAGATAGGGTCTCTTATGTACACCACACTGGCCTGGAACTCATAGAAATTCCCTTGCCTCTGCCTCCTGAGTACTGGGATCAAAGGTGTGTGTGTGCCATCATCTCTCTCTCTCTCTCTCTCTCTCTCTCTCTCTCTCTCTCTCTTAAAATAAATAACCCAGACTTAGGTATTCTGTTAAAGTAACAAAACCAGACTAAGACAGGCATGCTTGTAATCCCAGTACTTATTGAAGGCAAGAAGATCAGAAATTCAAGGCCAACCTTGGCTACATATCGAGTTGAAGGCCAGCTTGGGTTACATGGGAACTTTTCTCAAAAAAACAAATACCCAGAGCTGGAGAGATGGTTCAGTAGTTAAGAGCACTGGCTGCTCTTCCAGAAGACCTGGGTTCAGTTCCCAGCACCCACATGGTGGCTAACAACTATCCTTAATTCCAGTTCCAGGGGATCCAATGCCCTGCTCTGGTCTCCATAGGTTTGCATGCCACACAGGCAGAACACCCATACACATAAAATAAAAATAAATAAATTAATTAAAAAAAAAAACCTGGGCTGGAGAAATGTCTCAGTGATTAAGAGCTCTGGTTGCTCCTGCAGAGGACTCAGGTTTGGTTCCCAGCACCCACATGTTGGTTCACAACTGTCCCTGACTTCAGTTCCAGGGGACCCGATGCCCCCTTCTGGCCTCCACAGGCATTACACACAGGTGCACTTACATACATGCAGGCAAAACACTGATACACACAAAAAAGAGGGGACTGGAGAGATGGCTCAGTGCTTAAGAGCACTGATTGGTCTTGCAGAGGACCTGGGTTTGATTCCTAGCACCTACATGGCAGCTAACAACCATTTGTAACTTCAGTTCTGGGGGATCCAATGCCCTCTTCTGACCTCCTCGGGTATTGCAGGACACAGGTGCACTTACCCACATGCAGGCATAACACTTATACACATAAAATAAAAATAATAAATCACACACACACACACACATATAAAATGAAAACAGCTGACAGCTGAGCATGGTGGCAAATGCCTTTAATCCCAGTACTTGGGAGGCAGAGGCAGGCAGATCTCTGTGAGTTCAAGGCCAGCCTGATCTACACAGTGAGTTCTAGGACAGCTGGGGCTGCAGAGAAACTCTGTCTCAAAACAGACCAAAAATATTAAAACAAAACAAAACAAAAAAAAAAAAACTAAAACAAGGCCAGTTTCTACAGCCTTTAATCTCAGAAATAAAAATGTTACATGGTTTCATCCACAGGATGAAAAAAAATTGCAGGCTGCTCATAGCACTCCCATTGTGAGGACAGGGAGGAAGTGGGGAAGGAAGAGGTGTGGAAGAAGGTTGGGGCCTACGACCACTCAAAGGCAATCCTTTTTCTCTTACACTCAACCAAATTCATCCCAATTAACAACATTCAGCTTGGGCTTGCCAGACAAGACATGAAAGCCTTTAAAGTGATTTGAATTTCTTCATCATCATCTTCACATTAAAATCCTTAGAAGTGTCATATATATGGTTGTGTCACCACTTATAGGTGGTTATGTCCAGATAAACCCATTGAAAATTGAAAACAGAATAACTTGGAAATGCATCTGATACATCTAACATCAGGACCATTATATCATCTCTTGACCTGCTGTGAACATGCCCAGAACATAAGTGCTAGCCTACAGTGGAGCAGAGCCAGCCAACACACAGCCCGTTTTATAATAAAGTGTGGAATCTCATGTCATTTATTCAATACTGTATATTACCGGAGCATCTCTATTGTTTTCCTTCATGATGAGGGGGCCTGACTCAGAGCAGCTTCCCCCAAATCACTGACAGTATCCAACTGCATATTGCTGCCCCCAAGAAAGATAAATTCAAAATGTGGTTTCTACTGAGTGTTCATAGTTTTTTCACTGTCCTAAAGGGTGAAAAATCCTAAATTGAGACATC